AGTTCCAGAGAATTAATTTAAGTGATTTTTTATTACAATTTACTTAAATGAAAGTGAATTTAAATAGTAAATTAATTTTTATTTAAATAAATAACACAGGACATAACTAAAATGACAATGACGCAAATTACCCAACAAATTAAACCAACGTATAATACTATTGTAGCTATAAAATTGATAATAATATCAAAGAATGAATTTCCTAACTCTTCAGGAAATTGTTCATAAATATCATACTTATCAGTTCCATTGTATAATTTAGGTTGAACCTCTTGTTTATACGATTTTTTTCCATAAACACCTTTTGGGACATCACTAACTAGGTATGTAAATAAAATAAATAAGAAATAAAAGGTTAAAAAAATAACAAACAATCAGCGTGTTGGACAAGAGACACTGGATACATTCCACCATCATCACCTCCAATTCCACAGAGTGATTTAGCAGAAATCTTTATAAAACCATCAATACCCCAATTTTTTCCCCAAGAATTTCTTGCAATAAGATATTCTTTTCCATTGTGATTGCCGTAACCAATAACCTCAATAACATGATTAGTGATAACATTTTTTGTACAGCTATGTGAATAAATTCCAGAATGGTAGTACGACCAGTCAGACGATGCTTTTACAGAAGTAATAAAAGAGCCATAATAGTATATTATTCTTTTTAAAACTTCAAAATTCTGTGCTGAATCAAATAATGAAAATGAAACCATCATTGGTGTAAGTTTATCATGGATACAAGAATTATTAACTAAGGTGTTGGAATAAGAAACGTATGGATAATCTTTTTCAAATACAACGTAATGAGAAGACATTAACGGTTCATCTGAAGTACCTCCTTCACAATAATAACTATTCTCTGTACAGTCCATAAGTTGTTGAGGACTGAACATTTCATATTCAATTTTTCCTCTTTGAGTTAAAGTTAAATTAGCATATTTTAGTTGGAGTTCGTGTGCATTAGAAACAGCATAACAATTACCACAATCACCTTGGTCCATCACTATTCCACCACACAAGTCTATATTGTTTGAAGAATTTTGGCTTAATAATTTGTTTTGAAGACAAGCAGAATATTGTGTAGGAACTTCTCCACTTGGAACAGGAAGTTTGTAATGAGTTGTTTGTTTTGATTTAAGTGATTTTAAGTTAATTTTATTAAATCTTCTTGCAAATTCCTCAGGTTTTAGATCACTAAAAGCATTTGTTCCAAACATAGCATCGTCTGTGTCAATTCTTTGAGAATTTAATTGATTAATTCTTTTAAGGTTTGAAAGAAATATGGCTTTACGAGTTAGTTCTTCAGATATAGAATTATATACTTTCTTGTGATCACTTTTCCATTTACTCCAATAAGTTTCAAAATTTATTTTTATAGTTTCATTTGTGTTAGTTGTTTGTTTTGAAAAAGAGAATATGAACAGAAAAGCAATGATAAACAAAATTGACATATAATTAACTAGTTTTCAGTTTAGTAGATTGATGAGAATAAACTATAATTATAGTATGTTTTGTTATACCCTTATTATATCTCGTTTTGCTTTTTTACTTGGTAAATGAGATTATCACAAAGAGAGGAAGTATTTAATAACTAAAATTGTAAACAGAATCAAAATAAATTTAAACTCTCAGACATGTTGTGTACAAGACGTTGATTTGAATTTTTTCTATCTCCAATTCTGATTATGGAACGAATTCTTGGAGGTGTTAAATTGAGTTTTTGAAAAGAATTTTGTTTCATCAAAAGTGTTCTTGTTTCGTTATAAGGATGTTCTATTATACTAATAGCACTCATTGGTTTATAATCAATATCATTAAATATAGACTGAATAATGTAATCAGCTGAAAGGTTATGTGGAGCAGCAGAAGGAAATGGTATAGGATGAATAGGCTTTAAATCGAAATCATCTAAATGTTGAATGAGATAATTAAAAAGTCTTAGTTGGTTATCAGGATTAATTTCATTAATAAAAAATTTTGAGAAATGACCCAATGAAGAGATATTAGATGGATTTGAATTGACCCAAGAATTAAATAAGATTAGTAATGCACGAATGATAGACAAAGACATTGTCCCTTCAACTGACTTAAGTAAAGTTTGGGATATTGAAATCAAACTTTCTATAAATGAGATTTTTTTTACTAAAATGAATGAAAAAAGAAAAAAGCAAACTCTCATCAATCAATGAGTCATGAACTAATGACGAACATGAACCATCAGACAAATGACCAAATAATGGTGTTTCAAGTGATGATAAATATAAAAATAAAGCACCTACTAGTTCAGAGCTTGAAGCAGAAAAAAGATCAATATTGTTTCCTAATTCACAATTTCTTAATAAATCTGATGCAGTTGATACATCAAAATTACTAAAAAAGTTATTATTATAGAATGAAGGATGCAAATAAATAGCTTCACATAATGAGAAGAATAGTTTATGTAATCCATAAGAATTTGGAAGAAGATATTCTACACTTATACCACATAATGCAGGAGATTGATGATATAAAGTAATTAATTGATGAGAAAGTTCTCGAGAACAAGTTATAACTAAAGGATGATTTTTAGTATAAATATTATTTTTTGTGATTAAATGTAGTTCATCTAATAAAGGAAGATAAATAAGTTGAATTGAAGATAAATGAAAAATATGAAATAAACTAATAGATTTTAAAATAATAAATGGATGAGCATGAACTATTTGAAGAGGTAAATTATTTGAACTAACTTGATAATGATAGAAATAAGAAGAAGATAAAAAAGAATCTTTTAAATCTTTTGTAAAAGAAGAATAAGGAAGTAAAAGAATAGTTGAAATATTAGTAATATATTCGTAAAGAGGAAGATTCATAGTAATAAAATTATCAGGTTTTCCATTTAACAAATGAATAAAACAGTGATTTATTTCCATATCAAATAAAATACTAATAATAGGAATTAATTCATTCATAGTTAAAGAAGTATCTAAAGGAATATTTAATTCATAATTAATATTTCTAATTCTAACATATTTTGTTTTTTCTAATAATGTTATTATATTCTTTGATTGTAAATATTTATTTTGAATATCAGATAGAATTGTAAATAAAGAAATATTTATTATTTCTTGTTTCTTAATTATTACAATTCGTTTTTGTTCTAAGTCATTTTCTTTTAATCCTATCCAATTAATTAATAAATCTCGTATACTCACCTTTTCATTAACATAAAATACTCTTTTTATTCCTTTTAAAATAAAAGATATTTTAATTAAATCATTTCTTTCTTTAATTTTATATTCTTCAATAAGAGAATTCTCATAAATTTCTATTACTTTTTCTTTTCCATTTTGAGGTTCAATTTTTCTTGATAATTCAAATTTATCACTTTCTTCAATTTCGTTTGCATTAAAAATATTTAAGAGATATTTTTGTAAAATAGGATTAGCATTAAAAGGATATAATTTTTGTTGAAAAGACAATACATTTTGTGCTATAGCAGATAATTTTTGACATTTTATAAAATTAATTAATTTATCTTCAGTTTGAGTTTTAATACCATCTGTAGTAAATAACATATCACTTAAAAACAATCCAATATATGGAACACATGCAGTATGTTTTACTTCTTCTAATTTTTTTCTATAAATTAACCAATTCTTATTTGGAGAAGCAAAACCAATAAGCTCGTTGAATTTATTTTTATGAAGAGAAGAAATATTATTAAATGTTTTATGAAGTCTATGAATAGCACTAGTTGAAAATAAAGAAACTATACAAACAACAATATTATAATTTTGTAATGTATAACAATAATATGCAATATCAATAATATGTTGTAAAATTTTACAACGTTTAAAAATATTTTTTTTATTAAGAATTTGAATAGCAAAAAAATTTTGAATAGCATTAAAAATTTTAATACATTTTAATAATGTTTTACATTCATCATGACATTTATTCCATAAAAATAATTCAAATAATTTTATTGATCTAAAATAATATGATGTAATACATGTTAATTGTTCTGAAAAATCTTTAAATGGAATTTCAATAAATTTAAATTTATTTTGATTTAATAAATAACTAAATGGAAGACGTATTTTATTATTAACATTTTCTGGGGAAAGAAATACAATAACTTCTCTTCTCATTTGATTTTCTAATAAAATAACTTGTTTTTTCATTCCATAATCTTTCATTCTTTGAAGAAAAATATGAAATAATTTTAATGCGTCTTGTTTTTCTTTTTCAGGTAATAAAGGAAGAATTGTAGTTGACCAGTATGATAAAATACTTACAATTCTTGCTTTAATTATTTTACTCAATGAACAATTAATTGATGTAGCAATTTCAAATCTTTGTAAAAATTGAAATAAAACTTCTTGTGTAGAAACAAATAATCTATATCCCCAAATAAATTCTTTATATATTGTTGGTGATATACATGCTAATCCAATTAATTCATCTAATCTTCCATATTCTATTTTATTCATTTGTTGAGGAAAATGAAGTTGTAATTGTTTTTCTGTTATTTGTCCTGGTGTTGGTTCTTGCCAATCAATTGGTATATTAGACGTTTCTTTTATTAAATGTAAATGTCTTTGTATTTCTGTTTGAAACGTAATTCTACTATCTGAACTATGATCACTCTTAATATAACTTCTTAATGTAAAATATGTTATCATATTTATTTATTATTGTATTTTGTATCTTTTGAAGATTATATTTACTAGTAATTACATTTCTTATCTACTTTACATTTTTTTATCTTCTACTTCTTTAAAAATTCTATCTTCTTTTATGTTGAGTTCTATTTGTTATATATAACGTCTAAATCTCTGAAAGACTGAATCAACTAAAATAGAGTGCTAAAAATATAAAACAAGATTTTAAGTAAAAGTCAGAAGAATTTATAAACAAAATCAGGTGATAAACATCAAAAAAAAATTATATTTTGGTAGTACAAAATAAAAAATAATACAACCTCAAAAATGAAAACCGAGATATGAAAAAGAGATTAAAACAGAAATGATTAAATGATTGACGGAAATTTTGAAATTAAGATTACCTGACTCATCACAAATCATCAAGATTTGGCAGAACCATAAAAGAAGAAAGTGAATCTATAAAAAGTATATCAAATAAGAAAAGGAATGTTTAATCAAGAACAAGGTACTGATTA